ACCGGCACGCCTCTACGTGCTCATTTTAGCGGTTGTAGCGAAAAGCAGAAGTGAAATTTGTAGGAACACACGGCTCGATAAAATGGGTACAACAAACTTGCTGAAAACCTCCGATACTTTTGAGCATCAAGCGGCTCCCACGCTTCTTTCGTAGTCTTTGATTCATTTTTCCTCTGTCATCTCCTCCTCATGCCTGTGTATGTTGCGTCCGACTCTCACATGTCCTCCCGGGATGTGCTTTCTCAGCAAGCGAGAGTTCCCCAATATCTCTTTCAGGGCGGCGACGCGATCGTCTTCGTACACCTGACCACATCGTGCAGGTGTGATGGTGTGGTTTTGTTTGGAGTTTTCTGAAGTTGAGCATGCGACAACAACAACGTGGTACTACAGAATTTTGTGGTCAATTCGACTTGTTCCACAAGGCCAGCAAAATATGCCAAACAAGACTGCGACGCGAAAAGTCGGGGGTCCCGTCTGTACACACTTGCAACCGCCGACGCTGGAGATTGCCGTCGACAAATTTGTACTGTGTAACGCGAGCAACAGGAACTTCACCAAATATTTGTTCACGAGCATCACCGTCCAAGCTTGGCACACATTCATTTCTAAAAGGCTTCACCCAATAAATCGAGTATCGTCTATTCAGGGTTGCTTGAATGTTAACCCTTGCCTTTCGCTGCCTCAACTCCTCCTGGGAGTACTTAATGGCGGCATCCGCTGACGCTTGTTTTTCCTTTAGCTCTTGCACATCCATCTGGCAGTGTGCATTATGGTGCTGCTTGACCCCGTCCACCCATTCCACAAGCAAACGAGCTTGTTCCGCCTGCTCCAGGTCTGGATTGTTTGCCCTCTCTCGGCAGGAGGATGAAGCATTCTCCTGCTTCGACGACATCGAACGGTTGTCGGGCCTGGTTAATGGAGAACTACAGTAATAGCCAAGCAATCAGGTTTCTTGACTAAGCCCGTACCTAAACGCGCGAAAGTAACCGAGCCCCCCCCCTCCCTAGAAAAAAAGTCAGAGCTGTTCGCGGAGTAGAATTGGCTCCGTTCCGGGCTTATTGAAAAACGTGCCACGAGGCAGATTTTCCTTTCTTTATAGTCTAGGAAAAGGTACAGGGATGGGCGTTGGCCGACGGGGTGTTTTATGTTCTTGTCACCGAGTAGGTTGTTCTTTCGTGATGCTGCTGCAAAGATCGTGAAGTAGAACCACAGAGAGGACTGGAGGTATTCTCTAATGGCATCGCTGAGGACCACCCCGTGCAAATAACCATGAAGATCGTTTCAAAAAAAAACTACGTTAACCCTTATGTGACTACACCCACGATTGAGCTCCGATCCCAGCTCCGATCACTTTACGTGCCGAAAGGTCGCCAATGTGCCTCGCTCAAGAGAAAAAAATACATAGAAACCAGCAGGGAGACAAAGAGGCTGCCCACCCCAAAAGCACGCTTATTAGCAACTGTGACGAGATGTGACGATCTCTGACGCGGGTTTAGTGTGGAGCTAGTCCGACCACTGTGTGCAGGTTGGAGCCGCTTCGCTTCTTCAGTCTGTTTCCTTCCTTATCCTTCCTTTCTCTCTCAGTCGCTCGCTATCGCTCACTCCCAGGCATGACACTGAGCAAGGTGGAACGCTTGCACTCGCTTGCCACTGCTAGCAACCATTGCTACCTGCCTAAAGTCGGAATACTAGGAACCTGGGCAGGTGGTCGGGGTTTCCTGAAAGATACACCCGCCCAGATGGTATCTTAGTCCAAGGGTCCAAATACCATAACACAACGCGCACAGGATACTATTCAATGCCTGATCTCTCTCATGTGGGGCAGTTATCCTTTCCAGATTCAATCTACTGCCTACTGGTACTGCTGTAAAAGCCAACCCCAAAATACCACGGGGGGAGGGTACATACAACACCCTCAACACACGATCAACCCGGTGCCGCGTGCGCGGGGGAGAGCAGAGAAAACGCACGCCGGAGCCGATGCTAACGTACCGCCGCGGTGCTTGATGTTGTTGTGATTGCGGTGCGTATGGTTCCCCGTATCGGGAGGGGAACGGGGTTCGTCTGCTGTGTGCAAATTTTCGCTCAAGGGAGAGGGTTTTCACAACTACACCTCCGATCACACCTCCAATCACAGTTCTCTATTTTTAGTACAGAACTGTAAAATGTATCGCGATTTTAATGCATTTTGTGGGATAGTGGATGATGATCCGATTTTCTGCGTGGGCCGTTATAGTTTTCCGTCGATCTGGCGCTTCTGTGAATGAGGCGGTTTCCCGTCTGCATGTTCGCATCTAGCGCTGCTAGAATATGCGTTTGCCGTATACTCTGCCCAGGGATGAGGCAGATAACATGTGCCAGCATGCACAGGTTCTCAGACTGCTGCTGTAAATTTCTCTCTCTCCTCATACTACTGCGTGTACTACAGCAGTAGCAGTACTCCTGTTCATCACCCTTCCATATACCCGCGTTCCCATCCCTGTGTGCCACACACATGGATTCGCTGCTGCACCATCCTTGCCGCCGTGATGTGTGTGTGTACACCTGTGCATGTAGGATCTTGGACCACAGAGAGGTATTTACGGGAGAAAAAATTGAAAATTCAAATAAACCCAGTCATGTAGTAGGCTAAGGGTTAACACAACAGCAACAACAACAACAACAACAACAACAACAACAACAACAACGGCTACAACACGAGTTGCTCGCACCTACTGTAATTAGGCGGCATCGCAGATAGAGCGAGAAGACAGGTCGACCCACAACTCTCTGGCCAAAACGTTTGCTTGCGCGCGCGGAACATCGATCGGTAGGTCGGTAGGATTAGACTACTGTCTTGACAAAAAAAAAAGGATCCGATACACTTGCCGGAAAAAGCGAGTCCTGGGAAAGTTAGTCCTTAGGAACATAGATACGATACTCTGCTGTGATCCAAGAAGACACAGGGTGCACTTGATCAAGAGCAGCAACCTGTGGCATGAATGGCGGCCGTGTGGGTGCCTTCTTGGTTACCTCCATACTATGTTTATCGGAACAGGGACAGGAGCCTCTCAGGGGGCTCCTGCATACCACTTGGTACTCGGCCTATCTATTTTGTGTAGGCATCAGGCGGTGGCGGGCCTGTTAGCGAGTGAGACCGCGATATTTCTTGGCCGAACGTCGATCGAGGGATGATCACCAACCTTGAGAGCCCCTCTTCCGGCTTGCCATTGTGCGACGATCGTATCCCCCTGTTAGCCTAGACTAAACTGCGTTCAGTAATCCGATCTGTAAAACGTCTGGCTTTTTGAGTCGTGACGGACGGGTGATCATCGTGTCGGTCGCCACTCTCACCTGTAAGGTCTCCTGCTGCTGCTGTTCGTTCATGAGGTTTGGTGCGCTGCTGGTGGATGAGTTGATCCCTGGAGGCACTGCCCCGTGATGGCCTCTCGCCGATCCCTTGAGGCTGGGAACGCTCGGTCGCACGCACGGTTGAATTTTCATCTTGCTTTTACCTCCGGGTGATTTGTTGACTGCTGCTCCTGATGTTGGCTGTACACCCAAGTCCGTACCTCTTCTTGCCCCCGCGAATGATGGTTACAGACACGATATCCCTTGTCACGACCTACACTTCCTTCGTCACCGTGCTCTCTCAACTACTTCGTCCTCCTCTCTCACGGGTTATGTGTGCTGAGGGACGTTCAACGATGTGAGAAGCAGGATCCACATGCTGGAACTTGGCTGCGGCCAACGGGTTTTTAACCGTCGGTAAGTTCCGTTTCGGGAGCAGAGAGAAAAACAAGACAAATCTCGCCGCACCGCTTGGTCACCGTTTGCTTGACATCATATGCATTTGAATACGCTCTATGGAATCTCTCTGCTTTCTCTTCGGTCTCCCCCTTCCTGCACTGCTCTATACATTGCCGACGTCTCTTCACGGTGACCAAAATCACGAAAAACTCGGTCAGGCTCACTTCCAACAATAGATAGAGCCTGTGGATAGAGCCTGCAACACTCTTGTCACACTGAAGATGACGCTCCCCTGTCTTGTGTGTATCCTTGGACATACATATGTAGTGTCTTCCCTCAGTCTCCCTCAGAGTTCTTACCACCGAATGAAGCAGCATGGTAATCACAACGAGAAGATGAAAGAAGAGTGGGGTGAACGCACCCCCCTGGGCCCTTGGGCATTCCAGTCTGGTGGTGCTCGACTTTTCTTCGAGGGGAAGAGTCTCGTCACATCGCGTACAGCATGCTCGGATATTTCAAGGCCAACCGCAAGAACCACAGGCAAGAAATGGGACAAACTAAACATTTTTGTGTCTTTGGAGGATGAGAAATGGCGAGAAACTGTGTGTGAGGGACAATAAAAACAACAGAGGATGGTATTGGGTAAGGAGAGAAACATGTAGACTTGTAGGGGCGACAAGTTTCCACGTGGGAGCTTTACAGCCGAAAAGTAGTTGCAGCCAAGGGGTACCGGAGCCAAACTCCCGTTAAAATAGTGATGTCCCCCCTCGAATGTTTAGACGCACTGCCAGAGTCGCACAAGAGGAGGACCACCAATGAAAGTTGTTTTCTGCTTTATTCCCCCTTCACGCTTTCTCAGGGTGTTAACGATGGAAGGATATTCAACCATGGCCTAAGGACAGTAGACTCTTATCGTGATCATAACCACGCCCCGTTTCCCTCGTCTGCGATGAAGTTGAACTATGTGTGCACGCACGACTGTTTTTGTTAGTCTACCCACTTGTTGGGGGGCAGGATGTGAGAAACTCTCGAGTTCGTGTCACTGCGCGGAGATTAGCTCACGCCCAAGCTTGCTTCAGGAGATTGCGACGAGTTGAACTGAACCCAGTTACAGCAAATAGTACCGTATCATGGAACAAACGCCTCTACCCAGAGCACCATAACACTTCTGGGAGGAAATACCGCCGCGGTGGGGCCATACGTTGCACGGGGAGAGATTTTTTTTACCGGGGTCGTGAGTATTCCGGGGGAGGGAAAGAATCGTAGCCATTGTGTCTCAGTGGTTTCTCTTGGCTCGCACAACTTCGGGGTGAAAACAATCTTACAACGAGTTCACACATGAACAAGTCAAAAGCGTTGTTCTTAATTGTTCCTTGCACACGAGCAAGCACCCCGTGACCCCTAAGCGTGTCTTCGGTAGCTAAGGCGACATCCGGCGCGCACGTACGATAAAGTTTCCGCCATCTTGAGCAGTCTTCATCGCTATCCCCCCCGCCAGGATAACGCTGCCGTCCTCGCTAGAGCCAACCCCTCATCTCTCCCCCCAGACTTTGACAGTCTTGTCGTAGGAAGCCGTAACGAGAACTCTTCTAGAAGGGTCGTGGTGGATGTCACGTATGACGGCACGGTGCCCCTTGAGCTGCTCCACGACGCGGCTGTTGCGGTGACGAATCGAATGGAACGATGCCAGGCCGGACGGCGGTAGCGGGAAACGTAAGAAACAATTTTGAACTCAACAGCAACTTACACACCCAAGAGGAAATTTGAGCAAGCGCCAGCCAGGGCAACAGCAACCTGTGGTTCGACGAGGGGAACCTATTGACGGGACGGTGAAAGCACTTGACACGCAAAAAAAAAACTCAGAGAAAAAAATTGAAAGCGTCTGTTGCAATATTTGGACTTGTCAAAGAAAACACCACAACCCACCCGGAGGCTAGGCAGTGAACGTGAACGTCGTGATCCCCAGAGCTGTTGCAGTAGGAGAACAGTCCGGAGGGGTCCCACTGCACCCGCGGCTGGAAGTAGTCGTCCGTCGTGTGGCCCATCAGGGTGCGGACCCGGGCGTTGCTTCCCGCTCGCCAGAGGATGTTTCTGGGACAGGCAGAATGGGTGGGTGTAGCCGCGAAGAAGCATGGTACAAGCGTCACGCGCGTCGATCGACATAGAAAGAAAAAACCTGCGTCGATCGCTCACGATCACACAGGCTGACCAGTGATACCAACACGCGGATCCCTGTCTCATGTGGCACGTATGACCATAGGGCATTCATTGGTCGGCAACGGCCGCGGTAATCTGCGGACCCAAAAGAATAACGTCAGCCCCGACGGGATCACACACCAAAAAAAACTTGCGCTTGTGGTTACAAGCAGGCAGCTCTGGTCCTTGTCTTGCTGCTTGCATTTTTTCGGCAGCCGCGAGAAGGGATTAGCCTTACGAGGGACGGTGACCAAAATAACGGCGGATGTTATCAACTGAAAGCGAAACGGTCAGGCAAAAATGTTACAGCAGCAGCGGTAACACCAGCAGCAGCAGCAACTACAACAACAACAACAAGCGCCAGTCTCTCAAAACGACCAAAATTTGGTTCACATCCTGAGTGAGAACCCGCCACATTATACAAGCATGACCTGGACAGCAGAATGAGATAGATGCACCCACCTTTTTCTCCAACGACAGTTTTACAGCAAAGACCCGCCCTGCCTTGTAGACCGGTACAATCAGATAGTGAGTTGTTGTGTGGGTGATGGATGCCACAAGGAAAAACATGCCACAGGCGCTTCCTCTTCTCAGTCTCTCCCTCTCCCCCCTCGCTCTCTCTCCTCTCTTACATACTCGGAGTACAACGCAAGTAACACGAAACAATTGCCTGGTACACAGATCACTTCCGATACTCTAGAATCCATCTTCGCCGAAGGTTTGTGCATACTCCTCTGATTGGCTTGTCCATGGCCGCCAAAATTCAGAGCACAAAGTTCTCGCCATACGGAATGGTGGTGAAATAGTGGTGCGAGCATCACGCTGTGGTGGTTGTACCTGCTTTTGTCGGTGGCGGCGAGGAGGTACTTCCCGTCCCCAGAAGCCGCCATGGACATCACCGTGAAGGACACGTGGGTATCCCACTCCTTCTCGTTCAGGCTCACCTTTGTAGGTTTGGGTTTTCGACACACGTATAGGCGGGATCCAGAGAAAACGTCTGAGGAAAAAAAGCGGTTCCGGGCTTCGTGACAACCCTTAGGAATGACAACGCCCCCCCCCGCCACCACCACGAGACCGTCTGCTCCAGGGGCAGCAACAGCAGACGCCGAGCACTACCAAAGGACCAAAAAACATCGACTGGTATCCGCATACACATATAACCGCACTGAGACTGACGTATTTTCATTGGTCAGCCGGTGAGCGCGGTCGATGCTAAAAATAAAGGTACACACGCACCGGCCAAAAAACCGTGTGTGCTACTGCTGTAACCACTCACTCGGCGCTGTTGGAGGGTCTCGATGTTGACGTACGTGAGGTGCGGCTGCGCCCTGGCCGATACCACCAGCTCCAGCGCACCGCCTTCCCCCTTCACGAACTCCACGCTCTCTACCGCCTCGGGAAAATACAGCTGGGTCGCCTGCACAAGGTATTTTGGAGGTGGTGAACTCATGTAAACGCATGCCGTCGTCGGTAAGCCATGTCAACCTCGCATCCCTACAATGCCGGGACGGAGCGATATGCCGGTTTTTCGCCAGCTCGGGCTACGTTCCAGAAGGATGAACCAGAAGAAGCTGGCCATCACCCTTGCGTTTTGCTCTAGCCAAACAGATATGCCATGAGGTTGATTGGTTGGGCATCCCCGCTAACCATCTGTTTCACATTTCGGCAGGCAAGGTTGTATCTCTCCGGTGTCGCGTCACGTTCGCTGCGAACCGAATCGAGAGAAAGGGGGGGAAAGGGATCCAGAGACAGAAACAGAGAGAGAAACAGAGACAGAGACAGAGAGAGAACGAGACAGAGAGACAGACAGAGAGAGATCAACGACAAGATATTCAACACTCGAATGACCGAATAACACTCAATACCGCTGTCGTGTGTCGTTCCCCACCCCCACCCACGACGTGCACCTGCTCAAAACCCGTGCCGCCGACGCCGCCCTGCCCCGTCCCGTCCCCCCCGCCCCTCAAGGTGTACAGGGTCACCACTTTGTCGTGGGAGGCCGTCACGAAAGCTCTGCCGTCAGGTGCCCACCTAGGATAGGGGGGGGGGGGGGGGGGTGCTCATAGTCGTGCATGCCGTAGTCGTTAGACCATTGACCTCGCATCCCTACAAAGCCGGGACGGAGCATGCCGGGTTCTCACCGGACCAGGCTCTCACATCACCAAGCGCGAAGCGCCGTGAGGTTTCGGCGAGTCGCATGAAGGGTGATCTGCATCCTGCTAAGGGTGTTCGGCATCTTGTGCTTACTTCCTTGCCTACGGATGACAGCTGCGTATGACTTATTTTATTTTTTTGGTGTTTCATTTCCAGAGACAGTTGTAAGCGCTGTGTGACTGCCTCGAGGGTGCTTGACGAATTTTAACACAACGTGCGATTATCCCCTTTGCGCGGAGTGAGGGTTCTCCACCCCGCACAACACAATCTACTCGACCACCATTAATGGTTACCGCAAAAAAAAAAACGAAGGCAAAAAAAAGCGGTAACCTGGTTGCCGAGTTCACGAAGTGATTGGCTGGTTTTACAATATCGCTGCCAAGCGACGAAAACCCAACCCCGATGGCAAACACCGGGCGGGGCGGCTTGTTTTACAACGTCGTTGCCAAGCGACGAAAACCCAACCCCGACGGCAAACACCGGGGGGGGGGGGGGGGCTTGTTTTAAAACTTCCTTGCCAACCAACCAAAACCCAACCCCCATGGCAA